CACTCAGACAGAGTTGAAATATAACTTTATCAGCATAAAAAAGCAGTTAAGGCAACGTAAAAAAAAAAGGGACAGATGTACAGTTTGTAACGTGATATCGAGTTCATGTTTTCTTTGAAAAGAGGATTATATCACTTTTATACTTGGAAAATTATTACTGGTATTCAAATATGTTATGAATGAATATGTGTTTGACCCCTCCGTAGCGGTGGGGGCATCAAGTTTTACCCATGTCTGTATGTCCCGTCCGTCCATCCCGAACGTCCCCAAACATGGTTGTTCTCTAACTTTAGTTTATCTTAACCAAATGATATAAAACTTATACACAATGCTTATTACCACAAAATACATATCAAGCTCGAAATTGGGTGGCGTTACTTTTACCATTCTTGAGTTATGCCCCTTTATAAACATAAAAATTATTGGATTTTTCGCTTCTGTTCTCTAATTTTAGTTTGCCTCAAGCAAAAATAATAACTCGTATACACAATGCATACGTATAACCATAAAACACAGATCAAGATAGAAATTGGTGGCGTCACTTCTACCGTTCTTGAGTTAAGCCCCTTCATAAACAAAAAAAACATTGCTGAATTTTTCGTTTCCGTTCTCTAACTTTAGTTTGCCTCAACCAAATGTTATAAAACTCATACACAATGCTTATTACCACAAAAACAAGTCAGGCTCGAAATTTACTCGCATCACTTTTATTGTTATTAGGTTATGCTCCTTTATGAACATAAAAATCGCCGAATTATTCATTTCAGTTCTCTAACTTTAGTTTGCCTCAACCGAATGTTATAATCACAAAACAGTCTTTAACTACGTGAATCCTGTATCTTAATGTGGAAGTTGACTCGTGCATATTTACAAGCAATTTTTTATATGAACTGGTTTTTTTTTTTTTATTATTTAATCTTTCAGATAGATTTGATTGAACGAAATAATGGACACATGTATTTGGGAATATTAGAAGATACAAAGCTGACATTTACAAAGACAATTGTTGGAAAAGTTAAGAAGAGTTTAAAGATGAAAAATTCCAGCTATATCATTAAAAGATCAGATGTCCAAACGATTGATACCAAATACATTATAACGAAGACAGACTTGTGTGAAAAAAAACCCCAGAATTATTCTAACAGATGACCATTGACAAAACATTAAACAAAATCTTCAGGATTATATAAGACAACACAAATGACTTTCAAATTGATGTATTTTTTAAAATGTTTGTATCCCATCACATGATAAATCGAAACAATAAGGAAATTGATTTTTGGCCATATAGCATTACGTTTGTTTTACATGCTTTCTGAACTGTTCCTCTAGAATATTTGTGATAAGATAAATTGGACATAATCATAATTGCAATCATTTTGGAATATTTAATAGTATTAAAAATGACAGCGGAAAAAAGGTATAATTCATGATCATGAACAAAACATTCTTTATCAGTTTGACTGTCATGACTGTAATAAATAACACCGTTGGAATTTTCTTTTAAATTTTTTTAAGTTTAATCATGTCGAGTACTTTTATAAATGACTATACCATCCTGTTTTTTTATTTTAATCATGGTTGAAACATTGATGGAGTAATTATTTTCTGTTTCCTAAATGTACTTATTTAATTATTTTGTGAATATATTTAATACTATCAAAATTCACAATTATTAAAACATCCTATGTTGCAAAAAAGATAAACATTTCAAAGGATTTTCCAAATAAAGTTTATTTCATTTATATCACAATAATCATAAAGCACTTTCAATGTAGAATAAATTTATTCTGTGTCTCAACCTTAACATAATTACTGTACTTTCATAATAAATTTATTTTATATATTATTATATAAAACAAAAATCACATTGAATGTAGAATAAATTTATTCTATGTCTCAGCCTCACCATACAAATAACTTTACTTTCAAAATAAATTTATTCTATATATTATTATAATCATAAATTTTAAATCACTTAGAGTGTAGAATAAATTTATTCTGTGTCTCAGCCTCACCATATAGATTACTGGACTTTCAAAATGAATTTATTTTATATATTATTATAATCATAAATCACATTGAATGTAGAATAAATTTATTCTATGTTTTTCTCGAACTTATAATAGATGTTAAGGCTCTATAAAATAAATTTATTTCATATATTATTATAATCATAAATCACATTGAATGTAGAATAAATTTATTCTGTATTTTAGCCTCACCATACAGATAACTTTACTTTCAAAATAAATTTATGTTATATAGTCATGCATCACATTAAAAGTAGAATAAACTTATTCTGTTTTTCTCGAACTAATAATAGATATAAGGGCTCTATAAAATAAATTTATTTTATAAATTATCATATACAGAAAGCACCATGCATTCAGAATAAATTTATTCTATGTTGCATCCTTTACAGAGAGTTGACTGAAAATGTACAGCTAAGTGTAGAATTCAGTATAAATTTATTTTGAAATGTAACAAATAAATACTAAATTAAATATAACAGAATTGTCTTCGTTTTTCATCTTTTTTACTCAAATACATGGGTTATAGAATAAATTTATTACATTCTGGTCCAAATTTAGCCACTAATTGCACTTGTCAGAAATTGAAGGGAAAAAAGAGGAAAATTGGTTTTTTCCTTTTTTATTCTGCTCCCAGTGAAACTTTCATTGTTAGAAAATTGTTATAGTTCATTCGATATTCATAAGGATTTCAAACTAAGTTGTTATCATATATTTGTTACAATTCATTTGAAATCGTAGCGCAGCTAATAAGAAAATAACACATCATTACTTATCGAAAATTCACAGAATACATTTCCCATTTTGTCTCTCTTTTCACATATTTGCGTTTTACACATTTACATGTCGTCCCCATCGTAAATGTGTACTGTAGATGGAGACTGTTTGAGTTTGAGAAATATTTTTGTTTACTATCCTTTCAATCAATATGATTTAAAGTAAACAAAATTATGGTAACATATAAATAAGAAGATGTGGTATGAGTGCCAATGAGACAACTCTCCATCCAATTCACAATGTGTAAAAAGTTAACAATTATCGGTACGGCCTACAACACGGACCCTTGGCTCACACAGAACAGCAAGCTATAACGGGCCCCAAAATGACTTGTGTAAAACAATTCAAACAGGAAAACCAACGGTAATGCATATATTTCAATAAGCCATTTCAGAAAGGTGACTTTGGGATTTTTAAGCTACAAAAACGTTCGTTGCCAACATACGGTGCTAACAATTATTATAGAAAAATGTCTTTCACGGTTGCATATCCTGTCTTGTTTGAACAATACATTAATATAATGCAGATTATTTGTTTGTCTCACATTTTAAGCAGTTAGTTAATGTTCAATTATTTCGGAAGTCCAGGTTAACAATAGAAAAACATAGGAACAAAAAAAAACTGTAATATTAGGCCGTGTCCACATTGAGCTAAACTCAAGTGTGGTGTAGGTGTAACTGTACTCTACACTTAAATTAAACTCAATTACGTTCATATTGATAAAAATCAATGTTTACATGTAGTTTAAACCCGGTTTTGACTACATGCAGTCGATAGTCAATGTAGACCTTGTGTGGGTTATGTGTTTAATAAACAAGATATCAAGAACGTGGTTTTTATTGTGAACCTTGAAGGAAGTAACATATATCAAATAAATATGATTGTAATGATATTATGAATTAAGTTATTTTCCTATTTATATGACAAAAACTCAAAAATTGGTCCGTTAAAAACATGATTATATTTAATAGCCTTAGTGGACCATTTGATTTTCAGTGGAAGGGGGATTTTTTGCTGATAGATTATTCATTTTACACCGGTTGATAGTACGGCTTATTCATTTAGCGCGAAAGTTATTTTCACTTTTTGTACACAACTTTTTCTTACAAAGTCCTGTATTTTGTAGGACAAAATATTCATGTTCATAATGTCGTGGACAAGGTTATTTTTACAGTTAGTACCAGTCCAAACTATTCATTTCCAAAAGCACCCCATGTATGACTGGGGAATAGCAATATGGTCACTTAGATCTTTTTCCGATCGGCTATTAAACCTTTGCTAAAGTAATGCGTTCGTTTGGCTATGCGGGGTGTACAAGTAATCAGCCACGTCCATCTCCACCTTTCAGGACCTACCTATAGTATAATTCATTGAGAATTTATTCTCGTCCTGAACATGCATGAAACATTTGCCACTGGACGTTTATCAATCAATTAATCATTTTCAAAATCTTTTTTTCGCCTATTGTTACGCTGTTTTAACAGATCGTGACATCTTTCAAACCCTCAAAGTTCTCAAAATCAATAGAACGAATTTCTTAAGATACCGACCATTCATCTTCGTGGGACAAACCATTTTTTTAATTACTTTAATGAAAAAACAAATTTTTTTTTTTTCAATAGCATACATGAACATTTTTAAAGCTCCATTTTGAATCCCCCCGCCCTTCATTTTCAAGAAATCAAACAATCTTTCCCACTTCCCTCCTGGAACAAATATATTTTTTTCTTAAAGAAAATTTTAATATAAACAAAATATCCCCCAAAAAAATAATAGAAAAACAAAAAACAAATATATGAATTGGTCTACGCCTTACTGATACAAAATTTACAGAGACATTTTAAATTCAATTATATGTAATGTACATGTAAATTACGTGTACATGTTGTTTACTGATGTGAACAATTTTCATGTACAGGTAATTAAAACCGTTGTACAGATGAGAACAAATCTAATGTGAAACCAATATTCATTACATGAAACTAATTGTAGTAAATAAGTTTACAGTACGTAGCGTTTTGTGTGAACACGGCCTAAGACTAGGCGCATCTTGGTTAGCTAATCATGCATTAATAACAATGTAAAATTTGAAAATTAAATTTTGAAACTTTGTCACTACAGAAGCAAGCTGGTATTATTTTCTGTAAATATCCAACGAGTTTAAAGAAATTAATTTTACTTCATTTTTAGGTTGGTGTGTATCGCCTCTCCAGAAATCTAACATGATTAATCGTATGATGATTTTCTTGTTATTGTATTTGACTTCAACATGTATTGTCAGCAAAGGTATGTTGTTATAATGCTATATTGAGGTATGATATTCAGTGCTTAAGCATTCCACATTAGCGAATTGATAAATGTCTCTTGTCTATAACATATCATCATAGAAAGATTCCATGGTATTCTGGTTATCGGATAATAACACTATGCTGTTTGGATTTTGCAGGTATCACGCTACTATAACCCTCTATTTAGAAATGAATGTCAGTTTTTTATTGGATGCACTAAGTTTAAAAATATAATAAAACACGTCCATACCCTAAAAAATCATTTGTAACAAAACACCAGAAAGAAAACTAGATAGTATGCATGTTTTTCTTATTGATATAAAGTCGTTTTATCAAAATTGATACGAAATAAAGCAAGGGACTTTTATGCGAACTTCTTTATCAAAATGAGATCGTCACGTGCTTTTATCTCCTATGAACTTAAAAACAAAACAGCATTCACTTCTGCTTTCAAAGATCTTCGAAATTAAAAACATCTGAACGTATAAACTTTTTAAAATACTAAGATTACAGAAATGCACAATGAAATCTACTACTAGTATAGTACGTCATAGTATAAATTTGCATAATGATGATGTCGATTTCAAAGTAGTTAGCTCATAAAACTTCAATAATTGTAAGGCATCAAAGATTAATGATAAATCATAATGTAACATATTTGTTTAAATATATTGGTGTCCACTATATCTATACAATCAACTATATTTTATTTATTATTACTAAAATTTGAAATTATTTAAAACGTAACAATAATGTTGATTAATAGGGTAATAGGGAAGGCCCAGCCTGTAATTGTATGATCTTTGGTTATTTTTATACAAATTGGAAAGATATGATTTGTCACTAGGGCAAGAGAGAGAGAGAGAGAGAGAGAGAGAGAGAGAGAGAGAGAGAGAGAGAGAGAGAGAGAGAGAGAGAGAGAGAGAGAGAGAGAGAGAGAGAGAGAGAGAGAGAGGGGTTTAATTTTCAAATGTGACGATTCAAGGCAAACCATGCTTTTGTCATTTAATCGATTTTCTATCGAAAATAGTTAATTGTTTTGTTATTATAAGGTTTATGCGATACGGAAAATAATAAACAGATATTCGTTATGTAGTCTAGTATGCGCTATCACATATTCACAAAATCGTAATACTGAAGAGTGTGAACTAAATCTACACCTTATTGTTTTGTGTTTAGTATCTTGGAAGCTTAGTACAATCCCGGCTATCTTCGGTCATAGTATTGTATTAGTTTGTAAAATAGACGACAAACTATGGATGTCAAAGGAGTGTCCTGTACGTCAGTGGTCTGGTGGACCAGACCATAAAGGACTTGTATACAATGGATACTCATCAAACAAGACCAAGTATGGAGAATATCTAGAATCTTACTCATTTTCTTTGATAATTAAAAACTTATCAGAATCAGATGTAAATGTTTTGTATACTTGTTCCTGTGGCTTCGATTCCTTTACTAACAGTTTGTCAATGGAAGAAAACACATTTCACTGTAAGTAAAACATTTTTAATGTTCTAAAACACTACAATTATAAAGTTAAAGGCAGGTTGAACACAAAATAAAAATTGTTTTCTGACCCTTAATCGACATTGGTTTTAAAGAAAAGTGATTAACTTGAAATTAGCATAACTGTACAAAAAAGCACTTTGTTACTTTGTTTATGGAAACAAAGACAATAGTAAGTGATTTAGCTGGTACTGACCACAACAACAAAATAGGTTCCTTTGTTCATGAGCGATGCAAGTATTCTCTTAATCTTGTATATTTACCAAGTTTAACATATATTGTTTTATAATTATCGTTATATATTTCTTAATTGATTTGGAGTTTGAACTGTTGATATTCTAAAGTAAAGACTAAACGTTGATTGGTAATCACTAAATAATTTTGTAAGAGAGCCCTTGTTTTTTTTAAGTTTTTACTTTAGTGTCCCTTATACGGACATATACGGATATATCACTTATCATCCATTGATTACTCAACAGAAGGACTATAGAAATCAGTGTGTCCGTCCATCCAACAATGCGTTCGTGCGTTCGTCCGTACAACAACAAAAGATGTCCTCTATTTACTTAACTCATTTGAGTACGGTAATGAAACGCTACATGATTATTTATCTCGACTAGAAAGTGTGTCAAGTACAAGTCAGAACATCTTACAATAAAATCATAAAACAAATAGTTCAGCATAGTCGTTTCCGCTGTTTTATCAAATTCCTCGCAGTTGTGTTATGAAATTTGACATAATTATTCTTCACATCTAAAATGTGTGCCGGGTTCAAATATCAGTCTTTGAAAATCGTGGTTAAAAATGACTTCAACTCAGCCATTCCTGTGTCACCTTATGGACTTCAGCACAGAGAAAATCCAAACCGTATATTCTGCTATAAAAGACCCCGTGAAACAACGCAAACTAGAAAACCAACGGCCTGACCCATAACAAAACAACAAACAAAAGTCAATCATGACAGTAATCTTTTTCCGCTCCCTACCTACCTTTGCATGTTGGGAGAAATTGGCGTGCATCAAACAATTTATGACATCCGTGGGCATATGCTTAGTTTAAATAATAAAATCAATCACAACTTAACAATTAACTCGCACTATGTTGTTTTATTGTTTATGCAGTCTGTATTATAAGTGATTTCCCCTTTCTTATACCTATGATTTTTAGAATTTAGAATAAATATAACTCTGTCATATTTTTTTCCCGTTTGTATGTTATTTATTTTTCATAACTAGATCCTCCTACTACAAGAAACATGTCTTTTAGTGTTGAAAAGGGTCTTCTGCAAGTGCTCATAGATTTTGAAAAGGTGTTTCCCCTGCCAATATGTTGGCTGTACATAGGAGTAAGTATCTGCTTATACTATATTCGGACTCATATTTTTGTCATGTATGAAACGTAGATTGCAGGCTTTTAAAATACTGTTAAAGTGCTAATATTTTTAGTTATCTACGTTTTATACAAATGCAAATATATTGCATTGTATCAGTATCAAGGATTTAAAATCGTTTCAGAGTTTTATGAATCATACGTTTATTTAAACAGTTTTTTCCAACGCATTGGATCATTATAATCGCAAAATGAGACTGCAACAAACAAGGACAAAATGAATATAACCAAAAGACGCCTCCGAAGCGCATGTCATTGATCAACAGTATACCTGTTTGTATTCAATATGTAACACTCTAAATCGTTCCGAGTCCAAAAAGAGTTGCTTATAAATTATCATAGACGCATACAAGCGCCAAACTTTCCATACAACAAATAATTTACGATATAACAAACGATAACAAATGACGATATCCTAACTTTGAAAAAGGCATACTTTAATTGCAATCACTGAACTAAGTTTATATTTTATGTCCAGAATATATGACAACTCTACGATAGACACTCTGCATTGGATAAAATATAATTATAGAAGCTACCAGCACATTTCACATACATGTATATGTCATCTGATATTTAGCCAAACAATATAAGATCTACAAAACTGCGCTCGTGATGTTTACATTAAATACATGTATTGTGTTACAACGAAAGATGGATAGGCATCAATATACTAATAAACGCTGTATTCTAAATGTAGTGAACCTGATGTTAAGTGGTTGTCGTTTGTTTATGTGGTTCATAAGTGTTTCTCGTTTCTCGTTTTTTATATAGATTAGACCGTTGGTTTTCCTTATTTAAATGGTTTTACACTAGTCATTTTTGGGGCCCTTTATAGCTTGCTATTCGGTGTGACCCAAGGCTCCGTGTTGAAGGCCGTACTTTGACCTATAATTCTTTACCTTTACAAATTGTGACTTGGATGGAGAGTTGTCTCATTGCCACTCATACCACATCTTCTTATTTCTATTGACAAAATAAAAAAGGGTGCCGGACGCAGTGCAGACATTGTTTTCACGATGTCATATATGTAAAAGAGAGGCGAGCTAGGGTTCAAATTCTGAGAAATTATATATGCAAAAGAGAGGCAAGCTAGGGTTCAAATTCTGTTTAGAAAATATCAGAACTTTGCTATATTGGCTTAAATGTGAATCTTGTGTGTGTGGTCTACAATAACAAAAATTACATTAAATCAAAAGGCACGGATCAGTTTAGAATAAAGGAATGAGGTTACAATGTAGATTTACACAATTTCCTTAATATGTTACTTAAACACACTAATGAGTGTTTACATTTAAAATAAACTTACGCATACTCAAAGTATCACTAAAAATATACATTTCAAATAATATTTCCTATCCAATTGTGCATAAGAAATCATATAATTAACACTATTACAAATTACGTAAAGCATACTACGTTAACTTTGTAATTATAGGTCACTTTGAAATCAAAACTCAATTTGGTTAAATACCATCTAAGCGGAATAGTTTATAGCTCCATATACGAGTTAGAATATCAACTTTACAAACAAACTTGCAAGAACGAACTTATGGTGAAATGTGAATTCAATGGCACAGTAAACCCAGTTAATTTCACAGAAAACGTGACAACCAATTGTCAAAGTAAGTCACGTGATTTTATATTTAAAGAATAACCGGAAATTTAAGACTAACCATCTAATTGTGACTACAGGTCAATATTACCATGTACATTTCAAATGCGACACAAAACATACCGACATAGCTTAATTTCCAATATATTTCAATTTGATAAAGACCTCCTAGCATTTGAGAATAAATTCGAGAATACTTTTTTAATCAAATCATCCTAACTTGTAAATGTAACAATACAAGAGACATTTTCTATTGGTTTTCTATACTTTTATAGGTTTTAATTTCAACCAATACAAAATATTTGTTAATAAGATTTATACCATTATAAATGTATAAAACCTGACAGACAAAGGATAAGAAAACTAGCTCAATATAAAAACACCACATACAATGAAAAAGGGACAACAATTTACTTTTCTTTTCGACTACATCCATATTTGACCTGCTGAATTCAAACACTGCGAAATCGGAACTCGTCAATGTATGGCACATTCTCCCGTTTTAATTTGAATGTTTTAAATAAGGAGATGTGGTATGATTGCCAATGAGACAACTATCCACCAAAGTTCAAATGCAGTGAATGTAGGCAATTATAGGCAACCATATGGCCTACAACAATAAGAAAAACCCAAACCGTATTGTCGGCTATAAAAGGCCCCGACATGAAAAATATGAAACAATTCCATATGCATTGAGAAAACTAACGACCTAATTTATATCAAAACAATTTACGAAAAACAAATATGACAGACATGAATAAACGACAACCACTGAACAACAGGCTCCTGACTTGGGACAGGCACATACAGAATGTGGTGGGGTTAAACATATTTGTGAGCGCTCAATCATCCTCCAAACCTAGGACAGTTGTGTAACAGTACTATATAAAAACAAACTATAAAAATCAGGTGAAAAATGCTTAACTCATTAGATCGATACAAAGACAAACATTAGACAAAAACAGGACGTGGCAGGGTATCTATCCATCCCTCGTCCCTAACAACAAAAAAGACACTGGCTTTCAGTAACTGCGAGTACTCTCAGATCTGTACTTAGTTTATTTTTGTTTTTTTTGGGATGTACAAGTACCCGTCCACGTCCACTCTGTGTTTTTGGTAGATGTATTTTTATTTGTATCCATCTGATGAGTGAAGCCTTTTTCAACTGATTTATATAGTTTGTTCTTATGTTGTACTTTTACACCACTAGATAACCCAGGTTAGGGAGAGGGTTGGTGCCTTCAAACTAGTTTAAACCCGCCACATTCTGTATGTGCCTGCCCTAAGTCCGGAGCCTGTAATTCAGTGGTTGTCGTTTGTTGCTGTGTTACATATTTGTTTTTCGTTCATTCTTTTGTTCATAAATTAGGCCGTTAGTTTTCTCGTTTAAATTGTTTTACATGTCATTACGAGGCCTTTTATAACTGACTATGCGGTATGGGCTTTTCTCATTGTTGAATGCCTTACGGTGACCTATAGTTATTAATTTCTGTGTCATTTGGTCTCGTGTGGAGAGTTGTCTGATTTGCAATCATACCACATCTTCTTTTTTATGCAGTTACTGATAGCTAGTTCAAAGCCAATAACAATCAATCTTTTTCATTCTTATGACGTTTCTATATTCAAACAAGAAGGGACAACATGTCATGAAAGGATTTAAAATATCAAATGTATCGATGTCTATATGCATGTGACAAATGTTTAGATAAAGATAATTCTTATTTTTAAACTGCTTAATATACTTTATAAGTCATGATTTAATCAGGCGAATGATGCCCTCCACTACAGTGCTTGTGTCTTTGGATGAAGGTTGATGAACTTGATATCTTATCGTTTAGCGATACTATTTCTTTTTTTCAGTCTGCATTCAACAAGTGAACAGTTATACTCCGAATACAACGCACGTTTCTTTTAAAAACCAGACATCCAGACATTTTACTAAGGAAATTTATGTTGTCGTCCCAAGTATACTAGTTACTATTCTCGTTGTTATTGTATTAATATGTGAGTAAATCTTCTTAACCAACATGAATATAATTGATTATAATTTACGTAATTCAATGCATTGTAAACATTTAGTTATCTTACGTCAATGCAGTGGGAAATATGGTGAACGAGAACAAAGGAAAATGCACTCTTCTTATGATAGAGTCGACAAAATCAATAATAAAACAATGCCGGTGACGGTACTGATTAAAAGTTAATTCTAAATATCAATTTTACATTTTAAAGAAATAATTTGTTGAACTGTGTTAGTAGAAATATACATGCAAATACACGATGTTTTATTTTCAGTATCGAGATAATTCCATTACAAGCTTGTGAAACTGAAATCTAAAAATGTTAATCTTTGCTGCAAATTGATTAAAAAAAATGGAAAAAATTATCGACATACAAAATCTACTGATCTTTCGGGTCACCATTATTCGGATAACTTCACCAATTCCTTAACATGTTACAATTTCCCAAAACAAAACAATTCAAAAGTCTATCTGTGCAGGTTAAAAGAATAATATTTTTATAAGGCACTCATCTTTTTTACTATATTTTTATACAACTTTAAGAAAGGACGATTTTTGTACACATATTTGCGTTCTTCTCGATGTATTCACCTTCAATGTTCACATTAGGATAATATCCTTCTCATGGGGTGTACATATCTCGGTGGGTTTTGAACAGATATATCATGTTAAGGAGGGGTATTTTTCGCAAATACCCCTCAAGAACATGCTATATCTGTTTAATTACACCGAATGTTAACGTACAAAACGCATTGATGATCGTGACATAAAACGCATTGATGATCGTGACATTACAAGCGTCCAGTCGGATAGAGTATTTTTTGGCAAATACCACGACAGAGAGGGTAAGAAAGGCATATCCTTTTTGCATATACCCCGGCGCTGTTAAAAATGAACGATATTCATTTGATAAAAGTAAATTGGTGAAAAATACACTGGCTATCAACCAATCAAAACCCAGGATTCTTACATAAGGTGTTATTATATTCAATACTTCTCGTATTTTAAAGACTCCGCACACAAGTATACGCCTGGTATGTTTGATGAGTTTTTTTTCTTCCAGATTGTTTGTACAGAAACTGTCCAACCTGCAACGGTACAGCAACTACTGAAAACCCAACGGAGTACATAATGGTTACATTAACAAATGAAATCATAAGACGTAGAGAAAAATAAAATGAAATTTATCTTTGTCATATTTGCACTGTAAAACAACGGCTGGATGAAAGTGATTGTTAAATAAATAACACATAGCTGCGAGGGTGATAGAGCATATTATTTACCCGAAAATACATGACAGTGGTTTTTATACGCCCGTCAAATTTTTGACGGGACGTATTATGGTATACAAATGTCCGGCGTCCGTCCGTCTGTCTGTCTGTCCGTCTGTCTGTCCGTCCGTCTGTCTGTCTGTCCGTCTGTCTGTCCGGCGTAAACATGTCGCACCGTAACTTGAGAATGACTTATCCAAATTTCATGAAACTTAACATAGTTGTTTCTTATGATGGTCAAACGATCTGTATACTTTTTGGTGATAATAAGATTAAAACTTTTTGAGTTACGGGACTTAGTAACTAAAACAAGTGTGTGGTTTTTTTTTCACATGTCGCGCCGTATCTCAAAAACAATTTATGATTATTGCTTAAAACTTTACACACTTCTTAGTTATATTAATCTTAAGATCTGTATACTTTTTGGTGATGATTCAAAATTTTATTTTAGAGATATTGAGTATTTTGTTAAAAAATGGGGAGGGGTTTTTCACATGTCGCGCCGTATCTCAAAAACAGTTCATGACTATTGCTTAAAACTTTACACACTTCTTAGTTATATTAACCTTAAGATCTGTATACTTTTTGGTGATGATTCAAAATTTTATTTTTGAGTTATTGAGTATTTTGTAAAAAAAGGAGGAGGGGTTTTTCACATGTCGCCCCGTATCTCAAAAACGATTTATGATTATTGCTTAAAATTTTACACACTTCTTAGTTATATTAATCTAAAGATCTGTATACTTTTTGGTTTTGATTCAAAATTTTATTTTAGAGATATTGAGTTTTTTGTAAAAAAAAAAGGGGGGGGGGGTTTTCGCATGTCACGCCGTATGTCAGAAACTATTTATGCTTATTGCATAAAAATTCACACACAAGACGACGGGCGTATCATGCGCTCATGGCGCAGCTGTTTTTTTTTTCGAGGGATACCAATCAGCTCTATCAACCTCTCAGGCTACGTGTTATTTAATTCATCATACTGAATGTTTTATCATTCATGTTTAATATGAATATATAAAAACTATAACGGCGTGTGCATTACAACGTTCCGGTTATTAGAAAACAACAAAAGTGGAGCAACATATATTTTAGTATTTTTTACAATTTATATATATGGTCAAAACGTAGAACCTGAGGATCGTCTTTCAAATTATTGTTGTAAATTTTTTCATTGTCCTTTAAATTATGGGTGTTTGATTGGTCTACAAGAGAGAGTGACATTCAAAATATCGTCTCCCGTTGAGCCATTGGATGGAGTAAATTATGTCCCTCGTATTAGCCACTCAAAAACTTCGCACTGAAGCTCAAAAGCTGGCATTTTAAAGGGAAGTGTAATAAAAACTATTAATTACACTTCGAGGTGAAGAAAAGTTTTGTTGAGAAATATAAGGCTTTTAAAAGTTAAATTGAGATCGGAGAAACGTCAGCACAGGCCAACATGTTATCGGAATGCTCGAAAAAAACAAATACATGGGAGATTGTCCGAGATCAATCAAGAATTTCACCATTTATTGTTAAATGTCTTATTCGTTTATTTTATTTTATTTTTGTGTTATTTTATAGAAGTTAATTGATTTTTTTTATATAGTGTTATGTTTTTGTTTTTGTTTTATTTACACTTATATACAACTGTGGTTTTTAAGAATTAATAAAACATTTTTAAAATGTATTTGAAGTTGAGATTTTCAGAATTTTTCAGATATATGAACTGCGTCGAATAGAAATCGATCTTATGCAAGTGCACGTATATGTATATGGTCAGATCATATGTTTTCGTTTGCATATGAGTTTGTACTATACGTGCTTTTTCAATGGAAATTGTGAGGTCACAATGCGTTCTTAATAGCACGATAACCAATAATATTCGGATAGATGTTTACGACTTTGATTGATTTTTGTACATTCAAATACGAAATAAAAGGTGGAATTTGGTATGTTTTGTGGGGTTCTTATATCCACTCAATTTCAAACAGTTACAGACTTTCCATAGAGATTTTGTCAACCAAAATTTGTTAACAGATGTATTGGTATTCATTTGCATCAGGTCGATTTCTATTCGACGCAGCTCAGTTCACGCAAATGCTTGCATAAGCGTCTCAAATGATAATTTTTACTACATGTATGTAATAAGTAGCAGGTTATTCATTATTCATGTATATAATATCACCAAGTAAACACAATTTTCCGAAAAATTCTCTTTACGCTGATTTCACTAATCGTCGGATCCAGTCGAACTCTTCTTTATAAAGGAACGGCCATTCCCAACTGTTCACAAATTCTTCGCCTCCACATGATAAAACAATAGTCAGCAGTCTGAATTTGCTGGAGATTTTGTATTCTACCATAGTTGACAAGTATTTGTTATCATCTCATCGTGATCTCATCCCCGTATCGTCATGTCCATGGTTTGGCGATTGTTTGTATTTTCTTTCTTGACTATGGTGGTTTTTTTTTCAGGTTTATTTTTGCCTCTTTTGTATATTCTTTTTGCTACTCAACTTACATGAATGGTAACGCATATTGGGAAGGCTATGGTCACCCTGTCTTTAAATGAAGCTTCACTCGTATGACATTCCCACTAATTTGATTTGCTTGTTCCGTTTTTTTTTATTTATCTATTTATTTTTAATTCTAGGTTCCAAATTTGTACAATAATAACAATGTTATCAGTTGTATATTGCCTTCAATATCCATACCTTTGGAATAGTTAAAGTTGTGCTTTAGAAGAGGAAAAAATAATAGGTCCAATACGAACAGAAAAAACCATGCCCAAAAAGAAAAACAATAATGATTAGTTAACAACAGTCAAAAACATTACGTTAGGCCTGAAACTGACGATTGGGCAACAGATACCTCACCATGAACGTAGGGTAAAGTCGAATAATTCGGAAGTGGAAGTAGTTTCTGTACAAAAGTGGATTTTTTCTCGTGTTGTTACTCAATCCAAGTTCAAATTCTGCTATAAATCGGCAATGTCACAATCGAGGATATGAGGACGAAATTATGGATACGACATGTACATATACGTATAAAAGTAAGAAGATGTGGTATGATTGCTAATGAGACATGTGAAAATACCCCCGTGACTTTTTAAATAAAAATATTTCTAAAGGCCGTGAAAAATATTTGATGTTAGAAAAAGACCGTGAAATTTCAATATCCCGTGAAAAGGCCGTGATAATTTGTCCTTTCATGCTTAATAAAAAATATCACGGCCTTTTCACTGGTTGTTGAAACCAGTGAAAAGGCCGTGATATTTGTTCATGTCAATTTTTTCTTATCCTAATACAGATTTAAAACATCCCATGTGATTATTGTAATATGGTCTAATTATTTCCACTCACATTTTTCTAAATATCCTATAAACTTTTCATTATAAATATATGTCTGTTTAAATATTATTATATGCAATACTACTGTACAGGACTGACTTTTAAATGGAACCATTCATTCGTTTGCTGTTGTCTGTTCTATGGTCGGGTTGTTGTCTCTTTGACACATTCCCCATTTCCGTTCTCAATTTTATTGTTATAATTAATGACTTTGTGCCGATAAATATTTTGTATTTAAAGAAAAGTATTTTGCTTCTCGTCTGTACATTATTATAAACAATGTAAACATTAATTTTAATTGGAACCGAAACATGTAAAAACGAGAACTTCCCGGAATATCAGACCGTATCCGGATTCGTGTTTCTTTTAGAGTTATTGTAACATTTCCGCAATGTTGGAAATTTGAAAGACGCCGAAGGTCGATTATTATTTACTTTATAGATGCAAGACGAGTGAAAACAAGTTTGAGGTAAGTTAAGTTATTAATATTTTATTCTTTTATGCATCATATCACCAAAATGTTGATGACGTTTGTGATCATTTCCATTGAACTGATTTTCACTGAATTTGCAGAAACCGCGCAAACATGCATGTGATATATTCACTTATATTTGAGTCTGTTGCACTTGATTCCTTTAATCATTTCGGTTAATGTTTTCTAAGACTTACCGGATCCTTTAAATACGATTACGGTTTTGTTTTGTTTATGTATTTGGGGGAAAAAAAGGAGGAGGGGGGTCCTTTTTCCCCAGACTGGCCACATAAAAAAAAATGACATTTATGTACAGTACACTACGTAGACATAGACATAGATAACTGGAAATGATTATAATAGCAAAAAGTATCTCTGAAATGGAGTTCACTCTGATAATCAGAGGCGTAACCCCCTTTGAATGTGTCGGGAGCTGTTTAAGTATTTTCTGACTTGGCCGTCGGGACACAGAGTTCAAAAGGGATTAATTAGAGGCGTAGCAGGGAAAGTATTTAATATTTTTACGGCAAAATGTCCTTTCTAGAAGGGTTTGTGCCATATCATAAGAATAATTGGTATGGCAATGAGGTGTTTAAAAAATAATTGGTATGGCAAATGTGCCTGCAGTAAAAGTTGCTACGCCCCTGGCCCCCTGTCAAATAAACAGCTGTGATTCATTACGGCCACTTAGTCTAGACAAGTTTGGCTTTAGCCATACATATTATTACTTCAAAGAAACATTTAAATTTAATTGTCTGTCTTAAAAGTGTCTTTAGTCTTTAAAAAAATCTAAAAAAAATTAATATAAGTTGACAATAAAGAACTTCGTTACTTAATGATGCCATATATATTGGATAGGGGGCAGATTTTCTGGAAAATGGTATGAAAATATGGGAAAACCTATGCATGTTTCCAAGTGGCTGTTCTGTTTCAATGATGTTTTTAGTATTTTTCATACCATTTTCACCTCCAGTATGAAAATCTGCCCCCTATTCAATATGGGGCCATTAACCGTGAAGTCCTGTATTGCATGGAATAATATTGTAGCTGTTTTAAGTACATGTATGTACATAAATGCCAAAAATTTATTTGAATATATAAATAGTTTTTTTATATACATGTATAATATATGTAATGTTTCTTTATTTATTCTAGGAATGAAGAGCAAAAGGATATAGCAGTCTTTATATAAAATAGTTCAGGAATCCAGTTGGAAAGAAGAGCTTTTCAGTTAAAAGTATTTCCTGGGAATTAACAGGAACTTCTATTAATGTTTTTCTGGAATAGTTATTCAAAAGGGCAGTGAAGTGAAGGATTACATTAGACAAATATTGCTGAAGTGGTAAAATCAGACCCAAGAGATGTACACAATTTCTACAATACATGTTACAGCTGACTTTAGCTACTTAATCACATTGACATTTGTGTGCTTTTATGTTTTCTTTACACAATTACTACAGTTCTATTAAAATTAATATTTTTATTCTTTGTTACAATTATTACTAAAAAAAATACAGCATTTTAATATGGATTTTCATAGTCTTTTTACAAAAGCATTACAAAATTGCTTGTCTCTACCGGGTCTCGAACCCGGGACCTCTGTGTTACAAGGCAGCACGTTAACCGATTGAGCTAAAGAAGTACTTCCTTAGCTCAACCGCTTACGACTGACTAAGTATCTACCACATTTACTGAGGGAAGCAATCCCGTCACACTTCCCCCACCTCAAGAGTCATTATACTCTATATACTAGTGATGATATCTTCATTTCTATATATAAACATCCCTGGCTAGGGAATTCTTCTAACCGTGGGTTTTTATTGTGTGACGGGATTGCTTCCCTTAGTAAATGTGGTAGATACTTAGTCAGCCGTAAGCGGTTGGGCTAAGGAAGTACTTCTTTAGCTCATTCGGTATACGCGCTGCCTTGTAACACAGATGTCACGGGTTCAAGTCCCGGTGGAGACAAGCAATTGTGTAATGAAATGCCTGCTCTCCGGTTACATTAGCGCTCAACTGAAAAACCTACGGTGGTTAGAGAGGAATTCTAGCTAGGGTATGTGAGTGAGAGTCACAATGGTATGACGACTCTTGAGGTGGGGGAAGTGTGACGGGATTCCTTCCCTTAGTAAATTTTGTAGATACTTAGTCAGCCGTTAGTGTTTGAGCTAAGGAAGAACTTCTTTATCTCAGTCGATTAACGCGCTGCCTTGTAACACAGAGGTCCCCGGTTCGAGTCCCGGTGGAGACAAAGATGATTTTGTATATAGAATCATGCTCTCCGGTTACACATGTTATAGTTCTTTATAGCTTATGGGGCGCTTCGTTCTAGTATGTAAAGATCATTTACAAACACGTGTTCTAGTCTTTAGGTGTTGACATTGACGAATGAGTTAAAAAAAAAAGAAAAAAAAAGCTTCGAATGGAAGTTTGTTAGTTTGGTGTTTATATATACATTTGTTGTATATCGAAATATAAATGTAAATAAACACATTCATTCTAAAACCAGTTGTTGGCATGATACGGGTTATGATCTTCTCATATATTTTATGATGGTATTATACTAAATCCCTAACTGGAGGGGTTTTACTTGATTTTCATATGATGAAGACATAATCTTTTGTGGCAGACATGATTATTTTGTAATTGTTATTTCCCTTGTTTAAAACTATAAATTTCATATTTCTTTATTAAATAATTTAAATGAAGCTTATGTAGTCGTGTTTCCCTTGTATTCAAATAAAAAACAAACACGTTGTATGGGTCTATGGTTCTTTTATTTCATCAGAATTGATGTAAATATTCTAAGTGAAAATGACCCTGAAATAATAACAAATATAATTCTTATACAATTCAATCGGTAAT